CAACAACAACAACAACAACAACAACAACAACAACAACAACAACAACATTTTAAAACAGTCAGGAATCAAACTTAGAGCAAAAAGTCTGGCAGCGTGGAAGAAAAGCTGACTCAAGACTTTTGCACAGAACTGTGGCCGAGCCCCAAAGCTTCATCACCTTCAGCTTCATCGCGTCGATGGCATCCAGAACCCAGCCCACGGTGCCGTCTCCTCCACACACCAGCACCCGGACGCTGCCGGGGGGCAGCAGCACGCACAGCTGGAGAGCTTTGGACGGAGGCAGCTGCGACAGGTCAAACACCTGGAGAGGACAGACCGCTCCGGATCAGAACACGGGGCGGCAACCGGACAGCGAGGAGACGTTCGGACTCTGACCTGCACCGGGTTAAGGAGGGTACGAAATTCTCCCAGCAGCGCCTCCCCCATGTTGTTGCCGCTGCGCGTGTTGGCCAACACCAACACCGGAGTCCAGCTGCTGCCGCAGGACGCCCCCAGCTGCAGAACAACGACAACACACAACATTTTCTCGTGAGCCGTAAGACGCCGAGTGGCGCCAGAGGAGGCGGCGCAGGAGAGGCCGTCACCTTGGTGAACTCGTCAGGGTGCTGGCGCCGCAGCTTGTTCACGTGGTGCAGGTAGTGAGGAGGGATGATGAGGCTGTGGAACTCGCCCAGGTCGCACACGTCTGCATCCGCCAGACTGTCCATGCAGTCATCGTGCACCGTGGTCTGACACCACACACACCTGAGGGGTTGGGGGGTGGGGGACATAAAACTGTCAGACAAATAAAAACACAGGAAAAACAAGCCGAGCGCTGAATGACTGCTGAAGTTGATGGATGAAGCTGAAACTGGGCTGTTAAAGCTAATAGAAGCAGAACTTCAGCTGAAAGGAGCTAAATGCTAGTTAAAAGCTAAAAGTACAGAGGAGTTCACAGTAAACTTGAGGTGCCAGGTTCTGTGTCTTACGGTTCCTTCAAATGAAACTTTCCAAACCTAAATCGTGCTGCCATGTTGCTTTGGTTTCGTCTTTCATCCGAAAGACTTCCTCAGTCTGAGGTGCTGTATTCAGCTCAGTCTTATAAATAGCACCTTCTCAGAGTGGATCAACCAGTTTGTTGCTGATCAAGGACCATCAGCCTAACAATGGATCATTAGCACACTGATGGCTGTTTACTGTTCACAGAGGGCTGAGTGATACTAGCAATCACAGCATTGTAAGAGGGGGACAGTTGAACCCGGAGGCCTCCACCCCTGTTTAATGATGGACGATTTCTTTTCACAAAGATGGCCTCCTTTACTCCTCTCTCAAACCATCGTTCCTCTCTGTCCAGGATGTGAACATCTTCATCCCTGAAAGAGTGACTGCTGGCCTGGAGATGAGTGTAGACTGCAGAGTCCTGGCCTGATGATGTTGCTCTTCTGTGCTGGGCCATCCTTTTGGCCAGTGGCTGTTTAGTTTCCCCGATGTAAGACTGATCACCCTCCTGACACTGAACAACATACACAATATTACTCTGTTTGTGCCGGGGACTGGATCTTTGGGATGAACCAGTCTTTGCTGTGATGTATTTTGGGGTTTAAAACCACTGGGACGTTGTGTTTAGAAAATAAACGTCTCAGTTTCTCCGACACTCCAACAACATACGGAATGACCACTGGTCTGGGTCTGGGTTCCTCCTTTTCACCTGATGGCTGACTGGAGTCCTGCTTGGGTTTCTTCTTAGATCCAGTCCCCCGGCACAAACCTTTAAGAAGCATAACCTTGACTCAGGAATCCTAGCCAATTATAGACCTATATCTAATTTAACTTTCATCTCAAAAATTTTAGAGAAAATATCTGCTGTTCAGTTGCGTGAACATCAATAAAGAAGTAATCTGAAAAGTTTCAGTCAGGTTTTAGAGCTCACCACAGCACTGAATTGGTGAAAGTCACTAATTCTCATGGCCTCTGACAATGGACAGGTGTCACTGGTCCTGTTCGACCTCAGTGCTGCATTTGATAAAGTTGATCATATTTTACTACAGGGCCTTGAATATGATATTGGGATTACAGGAACGACTCTAAATTGGTTTAAAATAAATCATATCTATCTGGTATATTCCAGTTTGTAAATGTTAATAATGAATCTTCTTTATACGCCAAAGTTAGTCATGGTTCCGCAGGGTTCAGTGCTTGGACGAGTACGCTTTACCTTATTTATGCTTCCATTGGGTAAAGTTATTAAAGCAGCATGGGATACATTTCATCGTTATGCTGATGATACACAGTTATATTTTAGGGGTGCACCGATTACAGTTTTGTGGCCGATCACCCATTTCTAAAAAGTCTGATCTGCCGATTGCGATTTTGTTTTATAAGCGACACGGTCAGGTGTTCTAAGGTCCAATGCACCTTCAAATTTCCAATATTACTTTGTTGAAAAATATACCTTGAACAATATCCTAGAAACAATACAAACTTGTTTTAACTGGCCATGAGGTAGTGCTCTGAAATATAAATGAAGTTCAGACAATTGTTGTTAAAAATAAATCGGTAAAATGGTTTTCTCATGCAAGTATCCGATTTCCCAAAATTAAGGAAATTGGGGTCGATTTATCGGCGTACCCCTATTATATTTGTCCATAAAGCCCGATGAATCCAATCAGCTATTTAGACTACAAACACGTCTTAAAGACATAAAAACCTGGATGACCCTAAATTTTCTGCTTTTAAAACTGACAAGACTGAGGTTTTAGTTTTTGGACCTGAGCACCTTGAGAATAAATTTTTCAGTCTTTCTTCTTCCTTGGATGACATTAATCTGTCCTCCAGCTCTAATGTTAAAAAGCTTGGTCTTATTTTTGATCAGGACGTGTCTTTTAACGCCCACATTAACAACGTTACTAGAACCACCTTCTTCCACCTGCGTGATATCACTACAATTAGAAACATCTGATCTAAAAATGATGCAGGAAAACTGGTTCATGCATTTGTCACGTCTAGACTGGACTATTGCAATGGTTTGTTATCCGAGTGTCCAAATAATTCTTTAAAAAGTCCAATTAATCCAAAATTATTCTGCCAGAGTCTTAACTGGAGTTAATGGGAGAGATCATATCTCTCCAGTTTTAGCTTCTCTCCATTGGCTCCCAGTCAAGTCCAGAATTTAATTCAAAATCTTACTTCGAACCTACAAAGCCCTCAACAACCTAGCTCCATCTTATATTACAGATCTTATTCCATATTTTCCAAACGGAACACTTCACTCTCAGACTGCAGGTTTACTTGAGGTTCCTAGAGTTTCCAAGAGCAGAATGGGAGGAAGCTTTTTCATTTGGCTCCTCTCTTGTGGAACCAACTTCCAGTTTCTGTCCGTGAGGCTGACACATTGTCCAGTTTGAAGACTGGGATTAAGATTTTCTTTTATGATTAATCCTAGTTAGAGTTGGCTTGTTATGCTGCTATAGGCTTAGACTACTAGAGGATAAAATGACCTCATTTCTTAAAATGAATTGTTAGAAATGAATAGTTTTCATTTGATATTATTTCTTCTATCTTAACAACACGTGATTCTCTGCCATTGTGTATCTGTTCCTCTCAAATCCAGCCGGTGGAAGCAGCCGGCCGCTTGTCCTGAGCCTGGTTCTCCTAAAGGTTTCTTCCTCACCAAAGAGCTTTTTCTTTCCACTGTCGCCTTCATGTTTGCTGAAGATGAGAGTTCTGCGATGACGTTAAACTCAAAGCAGTCTGCTCCTCAGATAAATAGTGTTATTAACTTTTTATATACAGTATATGTGACCTGAGATGACCCCTGTTGTGACTTGGTGCTATGCAAGTAAACTGAACTGATGTCCTTCCATCTTGGCGTTGTTTTAACACTAATTCATGTTTCAGAGCAGTAACCAGGCTGCTTGATGAATCTGATCAGCTGCACCTGCTTCTTACGCGCTCCTACTTCCTGTAGAAGATGGACCACTCTCTCCACACACAGACTCAGTTTTCTTCTTCTTCTTGTTTTATTGGCGGTTGGCAAACAACTGAAGGAAGCATCACCGCCACCAACTGGTAAGGAGTGTGGACCACATGACAAAAAAACAAACCCTCTCTTTCCTTTTATATCCTATTATACAACCTATAGCTTGATAGCCTCCGTTTCCTCTTTCTGCAATAAATCAACAATGTCTAGTTTAATTTTCTTTTTACTAAGATGTCTAATCAGTTTGTTTCTTTGAACATGATATCTCCTGCAATGCAAATAATGTGTTTTACGGTTTCCTCTTCTCCACTCACGTGTCCCGGTGTATTAAACATAATGTTCAGCCCAGTGTGCCCAATTCGGAGTCGTGAAATAATTGTTTCTTCTCTCCCGTTTCTTTCTGTTCTTCTCCTTTCTCCAATTTCCCTTTGGATTTTATAAAACCACCGCCCTTTCCTTTCTTCCTCCCATAATTTTTGCCACTTTTCTTTCATTTTTTTGTTTTATTACACCCTTTATTTCTGTTATACCAAACCTAACATTAATATCAACCACGTCCTGACTAGTGCTCTCCTTAGTCATCCTGTCTGCCTTTTCATTCCCCATAACCCCGTGATGTGCTGGAACCAGTATAAAGTTTACTGTAATCCCCATCATGTTGATCCTATAGTGTTTTATCTGGTCTACTATCTCAGACTCAGCTTTGGTTTAGCTTGGACAGAATAAATCACAACAAACTGCGTGCACAGAGGCTGAAGTTATTTATGCGGAGAAACGAACAGGGCGCCTCCTTCCGCGTGTTCTGCGCCATCACGGTACCTGAGGTCGCAGAGCTTGGGCTGGGTCCCGCACTGCTGCTTGCACACGGAGCAGTAACTGGCCAGAGGAACGTTCCCTCGGACCCAGCGGTGCTCGGGCCGCGCCGGGGCCATGATCTCCTTGCACGGCAGGCTCCGGTCGGCCCTCCGCAGGCACTGCTCGTCCGCGCACACGCCGCAGCAGTCGCAGAAAGCCCCGTGCAGGATGTGCTGCGAGCAGACGCAGCAGTAGGTGGGCTTGTTGAACAGGTCCGTGTAGTGCCAGCCGTGCTTGCTCTTCCGAAAGAACTCCTTCATGGAGGTTTTCCGCTTGTGGCGCTGCGCGCTGCACCACAGCGTGATGACGACCGGGACCACGACGGCCACGGAGGTCCAGAACAGCAGGGTCCACTCGTCCCGGGAGCCGCAGTCCTCCTCATCACACATCGCCGCCGTTAGCGAGAGGCGACTCTCACGGAGCGGAAATGAGTGACACCGAGCGGAACGTAAACAACAGACACTGCGGAGGACGCTCGGCACGTTTCCCCGCGAAACCCATGTTGACAGACAGCGACGAGACGGCGCTACTCAATTAATTTACGACGTAAAAGTGGCTGAAAACACGAAGACAACGACGTCACGTTCAAACCGGAAGCTTTCGCGGTAACAGAATGAAGAGTATTTGCACAACAAGATGGTACACACCCGCTTCCGGGAAGAAAATTAAACTGGTCGTTAGCTAACGCTGGTTAAAATATTCGTTAATCCTCAAATAGTAAATATTTAACTAACACCAGCTCATCATTTAGCAATTAACAATGAGTTGAAATCAGTAATTTAGGTTTCTCTAGTCAAAACAAACGCTTAAAGCTAGCCATAATTAGCATTCAGGTATCTTAAATCTTTAAATCGGGTCATTTATGTTATACACAAAGTGTATTTGAATTTGTTGTAGTATCTTTCCAGCTATATTGGACTGTAAACAAACAAGGATGTGCTAAATTATTTATAAGACAGCGTCCTTCTTTTTATGAATACGTTTAAACGAACCCGGAAATGAGCAAAGGTCCACATCTCGTCTCTTTAAAGCATCTCTGGTCTTGATCGCCTGATGATTAACAGTGCGCATGCGCTTTAAATCATCTGCGTCTGGTAAAATATGGAGGCGGAAACAGTGACGCATTCCCTCAGATGTTGCGCGCAGTTTGTTTAATTTTTCAAACCAACTAAATAAAATAAAGGTATTTAACAAACACTAGCCACTTATAAAGTGTTAGTTCTTTGCAAGAAACAAACATAATTAATCAACAGTTTATTTAACTGTTATCAACTTTTCACTTTTATTTAAGGATAATGTGTACTGATTTTAGTAAAGTGGAAGGCTCATGGACAGAGAATAAGGAAAGTAAATTTTACTGCTCAAGGTTGACACGTTTTGCTTTTTTTAGCTTCTTTTAATTACTCGAAATTTATCTTAAAATAAAACTTTTAAGTGTATTTACTTAACACCACATTAACAACACTTTCCCCTGATCTGCACAAATAAATTCTGACAGTCAACTGAACAGCTAGAAAATTATTTTTTATATAAGTCTGGGAAAATTTACCAAAAGAGCTCTAAATAAAAGAAGCTCCTGTCCAGATGTCGCTGCTCACAGCGCCATCTAGTGGTCGGAATTCTTTATACACTTTGATTCTGCAGACAGTGATGGATGCATGCATTCTTATTTCGATATAATTAATATTTTGGCTGTTGACTACTCTTTCACTCATCTTCAGTTCTCACCATAACAACAGACTTTTAACTGCAGATAGAAGAAGAAAGTAAACAAACAAAAACAACTGTACAGCTGATGAAAGTCACGTCATCAAAACAGGGAAGCAATTCTGCAAAGGCATCAAACTTCTATTCCCGGAGTCTCAGTTTTTATATCTTTAGGAAACACCTTCAACCTTCTAAACCGTCAGTTTTATTTTAACAGTTTGTAGATCTAAAAGCAACAATAACGTAAACACGCTGTTGCTTTTAATATTTAATGTGCTCATGTAGACACATGGGTTCATGCACCTTTTTGTGCAGTTTATGTGTAAATTCACTTAAAGGCTGAAAATTAGTAAATGTTTAAATATAACTATTTGAATGACATTTGAAAATCCTGTTGAACAAAACAAATTTCAGATTCGAGAGTTTTAAAAGTGTGACTGAAGCAACATATTTAAAAATCAGAAGTGGATCGGGACTTTTGCACAGAACATTTTGTAACAGTTTGTGGGTTTAGAGGAGGAGGAGGAGGAAGAGGAGGAGAATGCTCCTCTTCAGCTCTTCTGGACTCTGCAGCTCAGAGCGGTGACGACCCGGCAGGTGGAGGTGATGAAGATGAAGAGGCTGGTGGTGTTTCTGCTCCTCCTGGCGCTGCTGACCTGCTGCTCAGGTAGGATCATCACGGTGAAGACAGGAAGACTTTAGAATTAAAAAAATTAAATTTTCTGCCTTTTTTTTATGTTCAGCACAGGCTCATCTTTATTAAAGACAAAGTTATTAAAGTTATTAAAGAAAAATGCTTGTCACAACAGGGAATTTTTTTTTTATTAAAAAAAATGGTAAAATATGGGTAATAATTTGTTTTAAAACATAAAGTTTTTATTTTAGCCCATTTGGTTGTGTGGTATCAGCTGGGCTTGTTTTGCCACGTCGCTGTGAGGCCTCAGCAGCCGAACCATCAGCTGCAGTTCGGCTCTTGTTGACAGAACTGGGTTGAGTTCCGAGGAGTCACGCGCCGCTCGGACTCCTCGGGGAGCGAGGAGGATGAATGGGAACTTTGTTACCCGCCCGACCTCCTCACACAGGCCCCAGGGCTGGAGGGGGGCAGGGGGGACTAGACCCCCCCAGAGGGCAGTGAAAGCAGCTCTTATGGGTTCTAATAAGTTTGGGCGTACACACAGAACTGAACAGAACCTCACCAGCAGCAGGTGGAGGTTTGGTCCAGGTTCTTCATGAGAAGACAAACTAAATGTGGCTAAAATCAACTCTGAGCTAAATAATTTAAGAAGCTGATTAGGTTCAATGTTCTCCCTTTTATGACTCCAACTCTAAAACAACGTGTGTAAAAATGTAAAATAAAATAAAAATACATTTTATTCCCAACATATCGGTAAATATATCAAATACTGAAGCTAAGAAATTGTATAATTTTGAAATGTAATATGGATTTTTTTTTTTTACAGCAACACACTTTATAGAAAAGATGGAAGGGGCAACAAAAGGCTGAAAATATACAGTAAATGTTTTTAATTTAAAAAAAAGAGCTGAAGGAGTATATTACCACTAATTAGATTAATTGGCAACGGGTCAGTCAGATAACTGGGTATAAAAAGAGACTTTTGTAGAAGCTGGGTCGCTCAGAGGTAAAGATGGGAAGAGGTTCAGAGAGCAACGCTCTTTTCAATGAGATAAAGTGGAGAACCGAACCGAGACGGATCCAAATTTAAAATCCTGTTTGGGAACCACGTCCTCTGCACTAAAGAGGATCCAGACGGTTATCAATGCATCAACAGTCTGCTTCTCTCATGGTATGGGGGTGCATTAGTGCCTCTGAAATGAGCAGCTGGAGTGGAGACGTTCACAGACTGTCTCAGAGGGAAACACGGACGTGGTGTTGCTGCCTTTTGATTATTATTATTTTACATCTTACGTTTCAGATTCGGGCTTGTGTTCCAGCGGCTCACAAACTGTTTCCATTTTTTTTCCTCAGATGCAAACCCCGTCATCAAGGAGAAGTCTGCCAAGCAGCTTCTCCGCAGCAAGAGGCAGGATCGTCCGCTGAAGGCCGGACACCCCGACGAGCCGATGAGGGTAAGATATGACCCGGAGTCGTTGCTTTGAAACGGTCTTCAGCGCCGTCAAGGCGTCTGATCGAGCTTCTTCTTAACAACCTGCCATGTTCAAAGAGTGTCCGTGTTTTATACGCAAGTTCTGCCGGCAGAGCTTGGTTTGGATTGGAGGTTTGAAAATCCGGGGTACGTCGGGGGTGTCCGAATTAAAATAAGGACCTGGTTCACACAAAGGGACAGTTTAAATCAAAACATTAACTCGAGCCGGGAACGTCTTTTCTTGGCTGCACGTCCCTCAACAGGAGTCTGATTCATTAGATGTTCTCTGACGCTCCTCCTACAACAAAATCAAAAATGACTGAAAACTAAAAATTGTTCTGAGCTTCAAAGTCGGACAACTGTCCCGAGAAGTCGGCACTAAATAAAGTGTGCTCGGTTTCTAAACTGAACGAGAGGCGCGCACATTCAAAACATCATCTCCAGGGCCAGATGAGACGTTTTCCAGGGCCACATTTGGCCCTCACTCCTTCAGTTGGCACATGTGGCTTACATTAATTTTAACAATTTAATAAAACTTTTTTTTGGCTTTTAAAGGTTTCAAAGTTTTTAACTATTAGTTAAATAATTAATAGTGATTTAGTATTTCATTGTTTCTGATTGTGCTTTTTGTTTTTATTCCTTGACATTTAACACGTGATATGATTTATTGTTTCCAATGATGATTTTATGATTTTATTCCAGATGCTGTAATTACATCTTATTTTGATGATGTGATCTTTTTGTTAAACACTTTGGCAACAGTTCCTGTTTTAAATGTGCTAAACAAATAAGTATGACTTGACTTTACAGTTACAGTCCAGTATAGGTCAAATAAAAATACATAATTTTACATAAATACACATAAAAAATGGACAAACTGTAGATTAAAAATCACCAATTAAAATATAGTATGTTGAAACTGGAGTAAATTTAATCTAAATCTCTGTGGACATCCTGTCCACAAGGGACAGAACACCCTGTCCACAAGGGACAGAACATCATGTCCACAAGGTCCACAAGGGACAGAATATCATGTCCACAAGGTCCACAAGGGACAGAACACCCTGTCCACAAGGTCCACAAGGGAAAGAACATCATGTCCACATGGTCCACTAAGGACAGAACATCCTGTCCACAAGGGACAGAACATCATGTCCACAAGG